ATGAATGTTTGTGTACGTGGACACAACATCAAAGCTTACTAGCTTATCCTCTTCTGAAATTGTCTGCTGATCTAACAATTTCACAAAATCATACAAATTTTTTCTGAATATAGCCCTTACCCGGCAGAGTTCCTTAGTTGCATGCATAAAAACCGTGAGATTATATGCATCACGCTTCCTTTATTATTTACAATTAATCTTAGAGGGACACCATCATTGTGAAACTTGTGGAGACTGTAAGCCGTGGGGACCCTTGCATCTCTCTGGAGTAGTGAATTCATTTTCCACTTCTTCATTTCATCATTACTTACGCATACCTTAAGGGCATCCTTCAGTCTAGTCGTAAGTCTTAAAAGAAATTGGGTGAATACATATCAGATTACTGATTTACTGTTAATCCCGAAACAATATTTAAATGCGAAAAATTAAGTCTTCCTGTCTGGTCTCTCAGTAAAGGCCTGTACGTGTCATTGTCATTTAAATAAACAAGCAAATATTTTTACATCCCATGACAGCCATGACTACCACCGCTTCACCTTTGTTGGCTATCATTACGATCAACTTACTACCACAAAGAGATCTAGAAACCCTACTAATATAACAATCTTTCTTTGGCGGTATTTTATGCTCAAAATGAGGGATCACCTCCAGTTCAATACTATTCTTTACCTCTTCAAGCTAATTGATTCAACAAGTAATTCCAGAGAATGCTTTAGCTCATTTGGAAAAGCAAAATTCAGTTTTCTTTCCAATAAAAGTACTACACTATCCTCCAGAGTTGTACGAGATAAACTGATTACCTTATCCTTCCCCACTTTGCTACAACCATGGTTAGTAAGACTTATCTTAGGCACAAAGTTTCTCGACCCAATTCTAATTCCTAAATTCCGGAGCTTCTTATCATGTCACGGCTCCACTTCCGCTGCCGGGGTTGATAAGACCTATTCGAGGTCGAAACTGCAGTCCACCCTGGATGAGAACAACTTCTGGGAAAGCAAGGCTCTATGAGATTCAATGGAAACGTCAGCTCTACTCATATCATTGTGGAAAAATTCTACTACCAGTCCTTCATCACCTTAAAGGAAATAGAGTGAATACATCTCATATTACTAATTAACTGGTAGTTTCGAAACTCTACTTAATTATGGAAAATACTAATTAAGAGTTGAATAAAAACTTTTTATATAGACTTTAGTGTAGAATGGATATTGAATTGCTAGGAAAAGGAGGTGAATCAATTAGTCTTTCGATGGAATTGGTTACATTTACGATCACACTTTCTATACGTTTTATTTCGTTTTTTCTTCAACACACCCAGGCAAAAGCTCATAACCTTGACCAGATGTGCGTCCGACATTACGCAAGCACAGTAGTGGTTAGGATGTACATAGAGTGGAGGGATGATAATCACCACATCTTTATGACAAGGGACAGAAACTACATTGTGTTCTAGTTACTTTCTAGTAAGCACTGCTGGTTTCGTACTTATTTATACACATGAAGACACTAAAGTGACAAATACACATGCCCCTAGACTGACATATGACTTGAGCTGACCAACTCCCTTACCAATCTCTTAACTTAGGTTATATATACAGCTCTTGTGGATAAGCTGGAGAGTTTTCTTGACTCCCTAAAATGAATATGGTTGTATGAATCCTGTTTTGCTCTAAGGATGTCCGTCATATAACGGATGGAAGTTTAGCACATTGTAATCGGAATCAAAGGAAATCTTTCTCGAGGACAGCGTCAATCAGAATGCTTCAGTAAAGCTAACCAACAGTTTTCTCAAGAGAAACCTGTCGTCGTTTGCTTATGGCATTTACATTTGAATCGCTTCATCAGAGACTTTCACTCAAAATGGGAATCGCTCATTTACTTTTATTGCTCTCATGTTGCCTTCATCATCATTGCCTTTATTGGTGGTATGATGATGTAATTCTCATCTGCGTCATGACGATTAAACACCACCAAAAAGTAGTGCTATTGGGAGAGGCTGCTTCTAAAAGACGGCAATCGCTAAATGGTTGGCATATCCGCGTTGCTGGGCTGCATTGTCAGGGGTCTGATGGGCCTCGCAGGTGACTGCGAACCTGCAAAGAGCCACATCCTTTTTCTTCATATAATCTCATCCCCAACTGGCTCCTGGGAATGTGTGAAAAAGAAGGCCTCGGTTTGTATTCATGCATATCTATATTTGCGTGTGTGTATGTGTGTTTGTGATTAAGATTGCCGCATCACCCGCCCCAGTCTCGGTGTCTTTCAATGGCACAAGCCGCATGGTATGAAGTGAACGGGCCGGGCTCTGTGGACGGTTCTGCCTAGTTCAGACTCTGAAGAAAGTCTCTTTGGCGTGAGGCACTTGAAGAGGCAGTATTGTTTGTACAGGCTTACTCATCTCTACAGGGCTTTATGCCCTTTATGAATCGCCTCAACGCCACATTTGCTGCGTCGTTTATGATGGCTGTTCTCGACCCTGGCCAAAAAAGCAGCCACCTCTTGGTCAAGCGAATGTTTATTGTCTTTTGATGAGGTTAGGAGGAAAGAAAAAATGAAGTCAAGCGCTTTACGCGGTCTGCGTGAGCAATTAAGCCGACTGTCGTGCTCACTCAGGCTTCTGCTGCACTAACAATGATGATGGGGATGATGATTATGACGCCCATCCATGCCTGTCCGAAAGGGTTTCAAGTCGACACCAAACATCAGACCTGGTACCAAGTGCTTCGACTCCGATTGGCCGGCATCCCCTCCACTCCCACTCCCAAGGCAGGCAGAGGGCAGCCTGGCAGCTCAGCTCTTCTTCACAGGCCTGGAGTACGAATAACTTGAGAAACATGCAAATCTAGACTGGCGTGACCCTGTAGGTGGACGGTCGACCCCACCCGACAATGCGTGACCATCCAAGCCTCGCCAGCTTGAATGAGCCTCGGCATGGTTGCTGCCCTTGCCGAGGCCCGGGCGGATGGTTTAGAGTCTAGACTATCAATTAAAGTTCATCAGGCCTGCACAAAAGACTGGTCTGCAGAAGTGGGCCGAAACTTGAGTGTATGGCGTCGCGAATGAGAGGATGATTAGAACCAGTTTTATGTCAGGCGAAGACGACTAACTTCAGGCCTGCCCTTGTTACCACGGCTCGTGTGTATCATTTGAGCAAAGCATGGCGTTTGCTCATGCTTACGACTGGCTTCTTATCCTTTTCATGTGGCCGATTGGAAGCGAAACTTCTTATCACACCTTCCGCATTCCGATATTTGGCATCGATAACTTTGTCAAGTTGTTGTTGTTTTTTCTTCAAGTTTCGCTTAGAGCGGGAAAATGTTTCTTAATGTGACAAACTCGATGTAGTGAAAGGGGATTTTTGACTGACTCTCTAACAATGGCATTATAAGATTTTCCATCCATTTCATTATGTGAAATTAAACTATCAGCCCTAGAGTCTCCTGGACCTACCTAAATTTGCTAAGGTCCCTATTCAAGATCAAATGACACTCCTTCCAAGCCGCATTTGGGCTAGTATAAATAATTGCGTCAGCCACATCTACAAACACATTGGAGCCTACATCTACTGCATAAACGGTGAAACTATGGAAGTTGATTTTATCTGTTTCCAGGGCAAACGGAATGTGTATGGACGTCATGTACGCCATGTGGGCAGGTGTCGGTCAAAGAAGCAATGGGAGTTTTTAGGGTATTCATACAAAGAGTTAGAGGACAATTTTCAC